CTGCTTACCTTGCGGACACCGCCCCGAGTTACAGTCTGTCGGCTCGGCTCCACCCAACACCAATGCTCCCTCTAAGCTGTGGAGTCTTGTGAGCGAAAATTCTACTTTCTGAGCTACTGTCGTTAAAGTTGTGAGCGAGCGATTTGGCTACTGCATAAATTAGTTTGCTCTGGAGCCATCCTTCCTGAGCTAAGGCAAAAATGTGTGAGCCAGAGTCTAAAAAAACTGTGAGCTAGCTCACACCAACTCAGCTTAGAGAGAACACTAACACCCCTTGGTCTCTTTTGAGTCCTAAGTGTCCTTTCGTTGACACGCTGCAGCGCTCACTTTGCCCCTTGATGGTGTTCTGCCTCTGCCTGAATGTTGTTGCGTGCAGTTCCACATTACAAAGGAATTCTGCATATCGGCAATCCGGATTCTGTGTCAACAAAGCTGAATTCTGCAATCTGCATGCAGTGTACAAATGGAGTGAATCTGGGTGTTTTTTCCTGACTGTTGTTTGCAATGTGGACTGTTCATCCTAATTTGGCAAGTGATAGGCAGGCCAGAGGCTTCAAGCGCCAGCTGCTAAAAATCTTTTTCAGCAAGCTCATGATTTTGCGACACTTTAGCTGGCGTTGTGCTTCAAGCCAATCTTTGCATTAACGAGGACTAGAAACACGGAACATTTTTTTAAAATGAAGGGTGGACTGAGATTCTGTGGGAAGTGAATTCTATACATTGCTAGTATGTCTGTGGAATTGCAAAACACACACAATCCAGTCATATGATCACTCTCCATTTGTCGTTCATTTAAGAACATCAGAAGAGCCCTGCTGGATCAGACCAGGGGTACATCTATCCTGTCTCACATAATGGCCAACCAGTTCCTCTGGAGGGCACAGAGGCCAAGGCCTTCCCCAGATGTTGCCTCCTGGCACTGGTGTGTTCTTATGTGCTCATTTCCAAGCGGTCATGCACGTGCAAGTGCAGTTCTCTGACTCTGATGGACCAAGGGCCTGATTCAGTGGACAACAGCTCTGTGTGTTCATGCGCTGACAAAAAAGTTACGGCAATCTGTGCGTGCACGGCGCTCTGTGCAAAACCCACACATTAAAAACGACGAATGGCTTGAAAGATAAGTTACCTATAGATGTGAATAATGAGAAAGGGAGGTATGAAGAGAATTTAAGAATTGAGCTGGAGGTTGGAGCATTGTGGGAAGCCGAAAAGGGGGGGGGGAGAGGAGGAAAGGATGTACAATGATTTGAGTATTGATATATGTTTAACTTTTAATATATCCTAATTGTTTTTTTTAAAAAAAATGCAAGTGCAGTTCTGCTTTCCCACCCGTGGGAAGTTGCTTTTCCTAATTGCCAACATTACAGCAGACGGGGCCCAACATTGCCTGAAAGTTGGTGCTTTCACACACTCTGAATAATGTACTTTCAATCCACTTTCAGTCCACTTTGCAGCTGAATTTTACTGTGTGAAATGGCAAGATCCTCTTGCAAATGGTCGCTGAAGTGGTTTGAAATTGCATTGTTTAGCATGTCTGAAACTAGCTGAAATTGACAAGAAGTTTTCTGTGCCTTATTTCTTTCCTTCCAAGGTCTAGAAGAACCTTTTTGTACGAGAGTACGTTAACCTTGTCTTTTCGCCTATCTTTCAATTGGGCAGCTATTGTTCGGGTTCTAATGATTAAGACAAAAAATATTTTATTTCAACAGGAAAATTAATATTCTGATGGATCAACTGGGGGGGAGCCCCTTTATTCGGTGGAAGGCCCTAAAAATAACACAGCTGCACACTTACAGCCTCTCTCTGTTTGTCGCCTGCGTTATCCCCATTGCAAAAAGGAATGTGATAAATTGGGGGAGGTTGTCATTTTCCCTCGGGTGTGCAGGCATCACACTAAAATGGGGGGGGGGGTTTCATCCAGTGCTTGCTTCAAAATGAGAGTGAATGAGTTTGTGTGTGAATACGTGGGATGGTGGTAGTGAGAGAGGGCAACAGATTGGGGGGTGGGGTGGGAGCGGGGGGAGAGGGGGGGGGGGGGGAAACCTGTCTGTCTGCCCGTCATTCCCTTAACACTCTGTCTTCAGGAATGCATGAAACACCTGAAGCTGTCTTATACTGAATCAGACCATTGGCCTATCCAGGTCAGTTTTGTCTGCTCAGATAGGCAACAGCTCTCCAGGGTCTCAGCTAGAAGACTTCCACTTCCCCTACTATCTGATCCTTTTAGCTGGAGATGTTGGGAGCCTGAACCTGGGATCTTCTGCATGCCAAGCAGAGACTGTACCATTGAGTCACAGCCCCTTCTCTAAGCAGCTTCACGTGGATGAGGAGGGGCTGTGGCTCAGTGGATGAGCTTCTGCTTTGCATGAGGAGGGTCCCCGGTTCAATCCATGACATCTCCAGTTAAAAGGACCAGGTAGTAAGTGGTGTGAAAGACCTCAGTCTGAGACCCCGGAGAGCCTCTACCAGTCTCAGACAATACTGACCTTGATAGACTGATGGTCTGATTCAGTATGAGAGCCAGTTTGGTGTAGTGGTTAAGTGCGCGGACTCTAATCTGGGAGAACCGGGTTTGATTCCCCACTCCTCCACTTGCACCGGCTGGATGACCTTGGCCAAGCCATGGTTCTGGCACAGCTGTTCTTGAAAAAGAGCAGTTTCTGTCAGAGCTCTCTCAGCCCCACCTACCTCACAGGGTGTCTGTTGTGGGGAGAGGGAGGGAAAGGAGTTTGTAAGCCCCTCTGAGACTCCCTTGGGTAGTGAAGGGCAGGGTATAAATCCAATCTCCTCCTCCTCTTCTTCTTCGAGGCAGCTTTATGTGTGTTCATGTGGGTTGGTTCCACACTAGCAATTTTGTCTGGAATTGCCATGGAATTATCACGATTCTGTGTGAAATCACCCTTGCGATGGAAATTCCAGATACCCTTCATTTCCCCTCACACCTGATATGCATTGAAGCCCCTCTCCCACCATGACCCAGAGCACAGCAGAAGAAATAACACAATACCTTTAGAAAAGCTTTTTTAAAACCTCCATGTATTTGCAGACATCTCTGACAATCTCCTCCTCCCTCTCTAAAAGGCAAGCTGAGCTGTGGGTGCTTATCTTCTGTTGTTGTTGTTTCTAAAGAGCATGAGTAACACTGGATAGGAGTAAAGCAATACCTTCGTTGTATGTTAAATGCCCTCGAGTCGCTTCCGACTTATGGCGACCCTATGAATTAATGCCCTCCAATACCTTTAACAACCTTTATTTCTTAAAAAAATGTATTTGCGTATCCCCTCCACTCCGTCTAAAAGACAGGCAGTTTTCTTCTGCTGTGCTAATGGTTGCTAGGGACTGGACCCTTGAGGTCATCAACAAATGAAATGTGTAATGAACGAGCAATTGACGAGCTCTTCGTGAAGTTCTGCAATCGCATCGTTTCCGCTTCAGATACAAGAGACTGTTTGTGCTGATACAGTCCATCCCAAGACATTTTTATAGGTTTCAACTTAAGCAGATTTGTGTGTGTGTGTGTGTGTGTGTGGAACAAACAGGCTGTTAATGGTCTGTGCACAAATATCAAACAATACCATGTGGAAACATGAAAAAATGTACCAGTTGGGTAGCTGAAACATGTGAAATCCTTGGTGTGGAACAGGTGACATGGTGGCCATCCTGTTGCGTTCCAGCACCTTCTGCATTCCTTTTTTTAACCTGAACGCACAAAATAACTTTATACTAATCCTGTTCACAAGTTACAGCAAATGCATGCATAATCCATGCAAACTTGATTCTTCTTTGTATGTGCACTGAGTAATTTTCATGTGACAGTCAATACGTATTTATTTATTTATTATTTGTATTATTTATTTATTATTTGTATTTGCATTATTTGTATTTGTATTTGCGGACAGGCTTAGGGCGGCTTACAGTGGTCGGTACAATGTACCTGGTCTACATAAAACTGTTTAAACAATGTGAAACATTTTTAACATTTAGAGTGCTGGCAGTATTAATAATTCATTAAATTAGATGGCGCGCTCTAAATCTACCGTCCAGGTTCCCGATTCAGCGATCTTCCGGTCTCCTATGTAGATATAGCTCTAACTCCACATTAGGGCCAGCCTTATACTACAGATGTTCGAGTAGTATAGTTGGTGGTAATGGTGGACAGCTCCTAATGGAAAGCCTGGTGGAAGAGCTCCGTCTTGCAGGCCCTGCGGAACTGCAAAAGGTCCCGCAGGGCCCTGATCTCTTCCGGGAGCTCATTCCACCAGTAAGGAGCCGCCACTGAAAAGGCCCTGGCCCTAGTGGCAGCGAGCCTGGCATCTTTAGGGCCCGGAATAGTTAGCTGACATTGTGACCCCGACCGTAGTGCTCTCTGGGGTATATATAGGGAAAGGCGGTCCCTCAGGTGTAGATGAATATGCGATACATGTGTAAATGAATATGTGATACGAACCCTCCATTTATCCAAGTACTGGGCCCTGGTTTCATTCATAAAGTGAACGTGTGCTGGTTCTTTCTCAGAAACAGATGCACGCACATACAGGCAGGATATATGTGCATTCACTGT